CTCCTTTTCCTGACCCTTCTGCTCGAGTTTTTTGCTCAGACGTTTTTCCCGGCGTTTTCTCCTGGACTCTCGTTAGCATGTTAATTGTAAAGCTTGTCCTAATTGCATTTGAGCAGCAGTGATGAGTCCAAGTTTTAAGTTCCGAGGCTCTGAAGATGAGGACCTGGGCTTTAGAGTTGGTTTCCTTTGTCAAAGTTAAGAACAGGCCTAATGTCCTTAGGTCCAAGACTCACTCAATTATGGGTGGGGAAATCCTTTCTTTATACAAATCAAGGATATCATGTTGGTATAAGACTGAAAGTCAGGGGTGGCTCGAACTTCACTCGTTCTATGGTTCGAGCGGAAGTTGCCAGTGGAACCCAATTGGTATTGTCCTTAGGGCGACGTGTTGCATGAAACCTCGTTTGAAATCAACTGGAACCCAACTCGATTCGCTATTCAGGATCCCCTTCAACTGGTTGCTCGAACTTTCAAGCAGGACTCTTCCAGCACGTCCTGGTTAGACTTGCAACTTTGCAGAAGTGAGTGAAAACTCAAAGCAAATGTATAAAACCGAGTCGATTTTGGAGTGAATTGGGAACGATTCATGGTAATTATTAATTATGTTCCATAATTTGATAAATTAATAAAGCTATTAAAGCAAATAAGCCGCCGCCGCCTGTGGGGTAACAGCAAAAAAAAAAAAAAAGAGGTGAATTAAACAAATTGCCAACTGCAATCGAAAATCGCATCAATCAAGGCAGCAGGACCTCCGCGGTGAGGCGGTACTTACTTTTAATTTTAATAAAGTAAATAAAGTTTAAATCTGAAATACTTTCTAGCAAAGGAAATTCGATCATTTAAGGGAATCTAAAATATTTTAATATTATAATCTAATCGAATTAGTGTCCAATATATTTCTCCTTGTGCCAAAGAAACAGGAATAGGGACTTCCCAGACAGCCCCTGGATGTGGCTGCTGTTGCTGTTTGCTCTCACTCTCGTAAATGTAAAAGTTGCAACTTGTAGCCTCAAAATAACCACAAAGTAAACACTGGAGTGGCGCAGGCCGTAGTCCGTAGTCCGATGTCCCGAGCTCCTGAGTCCGCAGACGGAGACGACGGGGTACGAGTATTTGAATAGCTGGCGAAGACATTGCGTGCTCGCACACTCCTGCAGCCACGGACAAGGACATTGTACGTGCGAACAGGACACGGCGATGGTTCGTCGATGTCCTTCGAACGAAGCCCCTTCCCGGTGCTGGCCAAAATAAATAAGTGTGTAATTTAATATTTAAGGCTTTGTCAGTAATTATTTTAACGCAGATGGTGGAACTTTTCCTTTGTCGTTTCCATGGATAAGTGGATAAAGGGTCGATGGCAGGGAGGCTGGGAGCCCCTAATTTGCATGCACCCGACTGGAGGGAACCCCTTTTCGGGGGAGTCTTGCCACTCCAGAAGCAGAGTCCTGCCTCTGCTGCTGCTGCTGCTGCTGCACCGCTCATAACTCAGAGATCACAGCTTGCGAGAGGCACAGAACTCGTAAAATTGACCCACTTGCCTCACATTTGTCTTTATTAAATGGGGGAAATTACGAGTTCACGAGCGTATAAATTATAAACCAATTTAATAACCAGCCAGGCACAAAATGTGCTCAAAATGAACTACCAATTTGCGGAGTACAACGGAACGCAACATAATAATGGCTCCGGGTGAGCGTGAACATGAATTACGGGTGTTCGGGTGGCGAACAAGGGGAGTCCTTGGCATTAGATTGCCTGAAAATGGGCATGAGGCCAGCCCAGTGCCCACCTGGGCGAACTATCGAGATTCCCCCCAACCTGAATCCCCTTTCTTTTTTTGCTGATATGAACTGATATGTATAAAAGGAATTTATACTGCTCCCCCTTTGGCTTTGAATATGCGCATAGTTTAAGCTTGTAATTATTCCAACATTTAGTTTAACATTTAGCCACGCCCATTCTGCCATGGAAACTGTGTGCGTTTTCCACGTGGCGTATCCCTCCCACTCCCAGGAAAAACTCCCGTTGAAGCTCCAGTTCGCTGCATGCGCGCGTTAAAGTGAATTTTAAATGATTTATTGCACATCCAGCCAGACCACAGATACTACAAATTCTACAATTACAGGACAAGCATCCAGCGCAGCTCCTTTTCCTGACCCTTCTGCTCGAGTTTTTTGCTCAGACGTTTTTCCCGGCGTTTTCTCCTGGACTCTCGTTAGCATGTTAATTGTAAAGCTTGTCCTAATTGCATTTGAGCAGCAGTGATGAGTCCAAGTTTTAAGTTCCGAGGCTCTGAAGATGAGGACCTGGGCTTTAGAGTTGGTTTCCTTTGTCAAAGTTAAGAACAGGCCTAATGTCCTTAGGTCCAAGACTCACTCAATTATGGGTGGGGAAATCCTTTCTTTATACAAATCAAGGATATCATGTTGGTATAAGACTGAAAGTCAGGGGTGGCTCGAACTTCACTCGTTCTATGGTTCGAGCGGAAGTTGCCAGTGGAACCCAATTGGTATTGTCCTTAGGGCGACGTGTTGCATGAAACCTCGTTTGAAATCAACTGGAACCCAACTCGATTCGCTATTCAGGATCCCCTTCAACTGGTTGCTCGAACTTTCAAGCAGGACTCTTCCAGCACGTCCTGGTTAGACTTGCAACTTTGCAGAAGTGAGTGAAAACTCAAAGCAAATGTATAAAACCGAGTCGATTTTGGAGTGAATTGGGAACGATTCATGGTAATTATTAATTATGTTCCATAATTTGATAAATTAATAAAGCTATTAAAGCAAATAAGCCGCCGCCGCCTGTGGGGTAACAGCAAAAAAAAAAAAAAGAGGTGAATTAAACAAATTGCCAACTGCAATCGAAAATCGCATCAATCAAGGCAGCAGGACCTCCGCGGTGAGGCGGTATATATAGTATTTATGGCTCAGATAGGGATATTGGGGGGTGGCGGCACAAAAAGGTCGTCACCAAAGCATAAAAATAAATTGATATCACAGCGAATTTGAATGAGCAATATGGCGTTCCTGCCATTTTTCCTGTCCTGCCGCCACTCGTTCCGTTCATATATCAGCGCTGCTTTTTTTGCCATGAATTATTTTGCCGACTGCATGTGAAATTTTTGGCCAAACAACAACTAACCCGGGTCGGGGATGAATATGATGCATGAAATAACAATAATGAAATGACAACAAAAGGCACGGATAACAAAGGACGGAGGAGGAGTCGATGGATCTGCGGAGGACTCGGCAATTCAAATCCAAAATCAAATGTGATTTTTGGTCACTTTGAAAATTGTTGATTAATGACGCCTGAATGCAGTCCAATGAAACCGGATGCCGCTGCATTAAAGCAATTCCAAGATCTCCGCCTGCCCGTCAGTCAATTCTATTCGACATTCAAATGTGGATGTGGGTGCTCATCTGGACATGGCCTGGACATGGACATGGCTCCACTCAGTGGGGCGTGCACTTGGCACACTGCACCCACAATTGATGGGGATACAAAAAAAAAGGGGGACATAGAGCCAAAAGCTCATCTGCGACCATAACCCCGTATGCAATTTAAACAATTAAAGCAACATAAATTAAAAATGTGGTCAGCAGCGACAAATTGCATGTACTAGTGGTAACTAGAGCCACAGCCACTGCGTATGTTCAGCTGCATCCCTTGGCCTGACCACGCCCACCCATCAATTGCCATTAATTCGAGCATATTAATTCCAATCCACATGCCAGTTTTCTGTGTGTGTTTTTGGTTTTCAGATAACACCGCAAACGGGGCGTGGCCGCCCCACTCATTGTTAATCAATTACAATCTCCAGTACGCACTCGACCTTTGCCAAATTAGCCGTATTGTTCAGATTCGTTCGGAAATTGTTGGCAATGCAATAACAAATATAATTTCGTTAATCTCCTTGGCGAATAAGAGAACGTACAGAGGACATTTTCCCAACTTTATATTTTAAGTTTGAACAAGTTAAAACGACCAAAATAGGACACAAAGAAATTACAGCCTACTTACCAACTGAAAATGCTGGCAATTGGCAGAAAGAGGCATCTTCAAATCCAAAACTATATTTAGATATATTTAATTTTAAATAAACATGTATATACATTTTAATAATAGTAAATTAGTTAAGAACCATAAAGGGAATTTAGCCTCGGAAAGGTAACATTTTATATATCCTTGCAATATGCCATAGGATATGGTCAAATAATCAAAAATCGAGCATAACTCAGCTGAAAAATCATCAAATTCAATTCGGAAAGCTTTTTTATGATAGTTTTTTCTTGGGTAACAAATCTGCATACTACATTTCAAATTCCAAGAAATCAAAATTTTTTTCGATTTTCAAAATTTTAATGATGTAACCCCTTATCAAATTTTGAAAAAATGCATAAAATTTTTTTTTTGTTCCAACATGGCTAGAAAGACTCGTCTGTTGATGCTGATCAAGAATATATATGATTTATGGGTTCGGAAATGACTCCTTCACTAACTAATATGATAATAACCTTTAAAAAGACCGAACATCTTTAATTCTTTAAATGGATATTTATCAATTTTTTTATCTTAATTTTTGGGGGAAATGCAAGCTTAAAAATATTAAAACTAAGCTAAAAGAGAATCAAAATCAATTCGGAAAGCTATTCTGAGCTATGTTTTTTTATAGGTTAACAAATAAATATACATTTTAAATTTTAAGATATCCAATTATTTTTAATTATTACAATTTTTAACGCCTAATAAAATGGTTGATTATGGGTAAACATATTTTTCTGGTAAACATAACACATGTTGATGTTAATCAGTAATATATATATATTTTTAATGGTCGGAAGTAAATTATAATAATAAAAATATGATATCCTGTATAACAAGTCCTTCATTTTGAATTTTCGTTACTTTCACTGTTATACTGTTATATTTAAATGGTATTTTTTGGTATATCAACTAATAATCCAGCCCTTGTTATTTACTATCCCCCCAAGCGACGGTCACACTTCAAATCGTGTTATTCAACTTGCCAAACAGCTGTGGAAATTTATAAAATTCATTTAACATACACAATGTTGAGCCTGCGGGGGATGCTGCCACGGAGCAAACAGATTGCCGGCGCCCTTGGGAACGTGAAGCGCCAGCTACCGATTCCCCTGTCACAGAACTGCAGATGCATTGCCGGCTTGAGTTGGACGAAAACGTTGCCGCTGCAAAAACAACACCAGCCATCACAGCAACAGCAAAAACAACTGCAGAGCAGGTGGCTTTCGAGCAAGTCAACAAAAACCGATTCCGAGGAGGCACTGCAGCGCATCTACTATGGAACACTGGCACCGCGCATGAAGATGGTCAAGTTCTTCTCACTGAGCACCAGCTTGGCGGGCATTGCCGCTCAGCCGATACTCCTCGAACAGGGCATGAAGATCGGAGGCACTGGGATGGCCGTGTTCCTTTGCTCCGTGGGTGGATTCTTCACTTTCGTGACTCCGCTGCTGCTGCACTTCATCACCAAGAAGTATGTGACGGAGCTCCACTACAACCCACAGACGGAGGAATACACGGCCACAACGATCTCTTTGCTACTGCAAAAGATCAAGGTGAGGGTGACGAATACAAAGACTCAGTTGGATTTTAATGTCTATTCTCTTTCTTAGACAAAATTCCGACCCAGCGATGTCACTGTTCCCGAAGTTCCCGGCATGTTCACCTCGTTTTTGGTGGGCAAACGTCCTCTGTTCATAGATCCAGCGCTGTTTGACGATCCCGAGCACTATGTGCGGATTATGGGCTACGACAAGCCTATTGACTTCAAACTGGACCTCAGTCCGGAAGCTGACAAGACCCCAAAGAGCCAAGAGAAGCAATAAACCTTATCGTTGGTTAACATTATAATATGTTTTATTGAAAACTTTGCATTGGTCAAGTAGGAAAACATGAAAAGCATACAAATAAGGCTACATATCTTTTGAAATCAAAACTTAAACAAATTCAAATTACGGATAATTCAACTTTCAACTTAAATCTAAATTTACTCGGCGACTAGGACATAAGGACACCATTGCCAAAGATAATCTGAATATCTTCAGTGGTCATGCAGTTGCGATCGCGGCACTTGGTAAGCCGGCGGAAGATGCGACGCAATATTCTTATATAGACCCGTGCCTCCTCCTCGGGAAGATCCTCGAACAGATTGGCATCTGGCGCCAAGTAGAACGGCAGGAAGCCCTTTCGAAGGAACATGGCCATGGAGTCGACAGCCTGGGGAGGAGAGGAGATGAAACCCAAGTTAAACTCACTTCATTTCCACTTACGCGTATAAGTATACGTCCAGGCGATTGGTTCCAGTTGATACGCTTTTGGCTGGTGGCGTTGAGGAAGACACTTTTGATCGCATAACTGAACAACATGTGCATATCGTTCCCTTCCCGGAGTGCCTTCATCAGCCTCAGAGCATCCTTGAGGTTCTTTTTCTTCTCCAGTCCCATTCGTTCCCAGTGGGGAGCGCACACAATGAAGGACAGAGGATCCTCACCGATGGATGAACGTATCTTCCTCGGCACGGCGTACCAGCTGAGATCCTTGTGCGGGTACTTATGAAAAGTCCTTGGCCACTCCGAGGCCATAAACTCAAATGCTGGCACAAAGTCAAAGGAAATGTTGCGTCCGGGATGTGACAAGCATCTGGCCTTAATGGTATGGGCCACATGGCCACCGGATCGGTTGCTAAGCTCAAAGGACCGTCCTCCACTGCAACGAATGTGATTCAGCTGGGGGATCACGGCGTTGATGTTTTCCCTGAACCAGGACTGCACCTTCCTGCGGTTAATATAGTAGAGATCACCCAAGCGGTCCGTTAGGTGAAGCGGAACATTGTCACCATCGACACGGAGGTGAATGTAGCCGGGATTTCCTGCCACTGGAACTGGTTGCATGCCACATGGCAGAGCCACCTTGGTCAGCATGTCGAATTCATCGGGCAGATTTATCTTCACTTTGTTCAGATTGCTTCCCGTCAGGCTAAGGCCCCGGAAAGCCCTGGCGAAGAAGGGATCTCGACGAGATATCGCTCGGACGAACTCATTTTCGATTTGCTGGGCATCCTCCTGAAAGGTCTGGTGATCTTCGGAGCTGATGGAGATTTGTTTAAGGACAAACTCAATGCCCTCGCCAAAGGTAAATTCTTTGGAATTCATTTTGATTCGAAATAGTTTTCAGTTTCTTTTGTTTTAATCTTTAATTAAGTTTTAACAATAATCAGATTTTAGGACTTTATTAATGAATCTAATTTTTTATGTAATTGTTTTTGAGCTTGGTTTAAGTTTTTTATTGGGCAAAGAAAGGTTAATTTTTGGTCTTCGAAAATCGAACTTTAAACTGCTCTCTTTCCGGGAATTTTACTATTTCCGGTGAAAACTTTAAAGTTTTGGGAGTTTTGCCTTAAAGTGGCCAGACCACTAATGTTTCTAGTATTATTTGAGACTTGAGGTAAGATTGATTATATTCGTTGTGGTCATATTTATTTACCTGGAACATATGGGAACACTGCCATGGGCACGCCGGAATTAAAAATAATATTGGAATTTAGGTAATTAATAATAATATTTTTATAATATATATTATGTCCTAAAAACCAAATCACAGTGCAGGAGCAGAGCTACTTTTTGGCAACATCAAGCGCCGTGAGCTCGCCCTGGATGGCAACCAGAAATGTGAGTAAAAAACAATCTTAATGTGTTTGCAATTTGTTATTTATAATAAGATTTTACTATGAAATGTGTAATTTGTGATTAATTATTTACTTTCTAAAGGGACAATTGCCAAGCTGCTGAAATGGATGCATGCCAACATCCTGACTGAACGACCGGAACTCTTCCTTCAAGGAGACACTGTGTAAGTGTCCTGAAAATCTAAACATTTATAAACCTGTTGCTCATTTTCGTTCCTTTTAGGCGGCCTGGAATTCTGGTCTTAATAAATGACACAGACTGGGAACTGCTGGTGAGTAAGCTTTTAAGAAAACCTACAAATAGAAGCCTAAAGAAATCCTAATTTCAGGGTGAACTGGACTACGAACTGCAGCCAAGAGACAATGTACTGTTTATATCTACCTTGCATGGCGGTTAATTAATTATGCTAAAGTATAGATCTAGGCAAAACTATATTTTTATATGAAAACTCATTAAATTGTAAAACTCTTTAATTGTAAAAAAAAGATAATTTTATACCGAGTCAGAATTACGTCCCTTTACCAAAATTGGCAAAGGCCCACACGATGGTTCGGGTCGTAAAGGTTTCATCATCCAGAGATTGCTTTAACGCAAGTTTCACCTATTTAAACCCACACTAGACAGAACCAGAACTTGGGAATCATAAGGCAGCTAAAAATAAAAGTTCCCCACACTTTGGTATTTTCCAGTTTGGCGGGCATTTCAAATTAAAGCTTACGTTGTGTACATTGAAGCAACATTTATTGAATTTAAGTTTTGGCTTACAACTATTTAAAGATACACTTGTATATCGTAGATTTATTTTTACTTTCGTTTACCCTTATTTAAATGTAGGCACTTAGGTTACATATCAACTAACTGTACGTAATGAACTTCGATTCGGATATGCTGGGCACTGGTGGTGCTCTGTGGGTGGTGGTGGTGTGTGGATCGTTCGATTGTGTGGACTGGGGCTTCGACATTGACACGCTGAATTCAACCAATTCAATCGGGTTTCTGCACCGATTACGACAAATTAACGGAAATATAGAGGGTAATAAATAATAAATAACAAAAATAATGAAATAAAATTAGCGTTCGATCGTAATGCTTCTATCTGGATCCGATGATGAAACCGTTCTGCTAAAGCTATAAATGGGGTTTACTAATCCTAGATTCGCTGCTCTCTCTCTCGCTCCAGGAGCTCCTTCTATTTGCCGCCGTCTGGACTGGCAGACTCCGCCGCATGCGCGTAGGACCGATAGCGTCGCAGGATCACCGTGGAGGCACTCGACGTGGACGCTGCTGATGCCGTGGCCGACGTGGACGTGGACCAGCTGCTCCGGCTACTCTCCGCCGCTGACTGCTCCTGGTCCGGGGTGACGAACATGTCGGAGACAATGCCGCTCTCTGGATGGAGATACATTTACATATATTGGATGAGAACAGATCGCAACAGCGGCAACAACATACAACATAGAACAACAACATGCAGCACGCGTCAGGCACGGATTACGGGTGGTTAGGTGTTGGTGGTGAGATTATATACAGTAATACTGGGGGTTCTTCGAGAATATATATGTACAGGGATCAACTACAAGCTACGGGGTGCGTCTAGAAGAAGTAGCTCAGTTCAAGCTCAATACCCATGGACAGCTGGCTGACAATGGTGGTCGATCGTTTGTGGTGTCGTTTGCTGCTCCCGAGTCCTTGAACTTTTCCAGTTCCTGCTGCGAGACCAGAACTGCTGCCTCCCTCAGAGTCGGCGGGCTCAGAGCCCTTGATCCCTCCGCCACTTGAGGACTTGACCAGCTTCAGGGCCTGCGTTTCGTTAATCAACTCCAGGGTGGCACTGCAGTTATTGGCGGAACTAGTGTTGTGTGGTCCCGGCAGCTTGCCAAAGTGCAGGCTATGCCGACCGCCTCCATCGTGGTGGCCGGAAGACGAGGCACCGCTGATGGAAGAGCCACTGGTGGTGCTAGTACCGCTGGACAGAGAGCTCTCCGAGATTAGGGAATTGGGTCGCCGCATGCTGCCCTTGCCGGGCTCCGAGTGACGCAGCTTGGGAGCTGTGGGGAGGATCATAAAATCAAAGGATTAACACTCAAGGTTTTCTTTATGGAGCTTCAAAACATACTCTTGTTTAACTGCGCCAGGGGAATGGAGCGATCGCTGATCTGGTTGTTGCTGGGCCGAATGTCAAGGCAAGGCTTGCTGCCTATGCCCATCGAGGACATCTCCGCCAGACGAATTTCTGGAAAATTAATTTATAAATCATAAATTAATAACTTCATATTAATCATATTTTAATCTAACTTCTTACCTCGGTTTCGTTTCGCCTGCTTCCAGAGCAGTTTGGAGATTTCCTCGGTCCAGGAGTTTTTGATGTCCTCCGACATGCACTGCAGCATCCAGGTATCGTCGGGCTTTCGCTTGCGGAACCATATCTCAAATTTGGTGGCCGAGTCGCCGGTGTGCGCTGTCAGTCCTATATCCGAGGTCTTGATGCTGTTCTTGTAGATGTAGATGTCCAGATTCTGTTTGGAATGAAGCAAGGAACTAGGTAAGTAGATCATAGTATTTGGAATAGATTACTTGGTACCTTGAGTCTCTCAAAGGTTGCCTTTTAGTGTACATAATAAATAAGTAAGATATATATTATTTTATTTTATGCAAAATGAACCTAAACTTAGTAATTCGTCAAAAATAGGGTTTGAAATAGACCGTTTTGGTGTAAAATAAATTGTAGCCTAGCTAAACAAATTTCTAAATATTCTCAAATAATTTTTAAATATTTATAATAATAATAATTAATAATATTTAGTACCTTGTGGTCGGGAAAGCGACGCGCCTTGCTGAAGAGCACCAGTTCCTCGAAGAGAAACACCTGACGCAGCGTCTTCTTGCCGCCGCGTCCTTGCCACACAAGAAACTCGTTCTGGCGCAGCAATCGGCCCTGCTCCTTGACATTGACATCACAGTCGCGTAGTGAGTCCATGGCCAGCAGATCATTACCATGTCGTAGCTGGAACTTGACCATTTCCTCTGCTCGCTGCAGCTCCTCAACATCCGCGGCAATCTCTTGCAGAGCGGCACCTTCGACACTACGGCAGGCCTTGACCAATTGCTGGAGAAGCAGAGCGTACTTGCCCATCCGCTGAACTGGCTTCAGGAGGTAGGAGGCCAGATCCAGTTTATCCTGGAGCTGGATCTGCTTGGGCTTGAAGAAGGAGCTGCCGTATTCGCTCAGCAAGGTGTCGCTTTTAGGCTTGTTCTTGTTGTACAGCGCATACAGATAGAACTTGGACTCCATTTCCAGGAAGGCAGCTCCCACCTTCAACGGATTCAGCTCGTACCGCTCCAGTTCGCCCAGGAAGTGTGAGTTGTGGAATTCGAAGATCTTCTCGATGTTGCCGAAAATCACATTGCGCTGTCCCCGCAGCGGCTGCGGAATGTCCTCGCGCAGCAGTTCGTCTATGTAGTTCTCGATCACGTAGTACAGGGAGCGCACGTAGTCGCGTTCGGTACCAATCATTTCGCGCATGATCAATAGAAGCGTTCTGGAGGGAGATTGAGGATCGTCAAGTAGGATGCAAGGAGTAGAGAAAGGATAGCGAACTCACTTTTGTATCTTGGGATCCAGGCAGCTTAGCTCTTCCAGCTTGGGCAGCTCCAAACTGGACCCATGGCACTGCAGATGGGCGTTTGCCTCCATGGGCGAGTGCATGTCCATGTAGCGCTTGGACGGTCTATCGAAGCACTCGTCCTCCATAAGCTCGTCGTGACTGAAAAGGAATTGTGAATATATTAGAATTTATAATAATTTTTATAAATTTCGATTATTTTATTTGCAAACTCACCTCTTTTCGTTGAGACTCTGGCAGGAGCAGATCCTGGCCAGCTTCGGGTTGCGTTCGCAATTGTCGCAGACGCCCACACCGGAGTCGGCAATCTTGGACTGCTGCTCCTCTCCCTCACCACAGCTGCGATCCAGCTCCTCCTCCTCCTCCATCTGGTCCATGTCATCCAGGTTGCGACTCTCTCGCCAGCAGCTGCAACTGCTGCTCGAGGGTCCCCCCTCGAAGGAGCTGCCACTGGCCGAACTGCAGCGGTAGCTCACCCTCTTGCCGGCGGCGGGAGCGGGTGTGCTACTGGCCGCCGGCAGGGAGTGACTCTTACGCATGGCCGGCCAGTGCTTCTCCAACAGGGCCGAGGCGCCCAGCTGATCCGCCAGCCGTTGCAGCTCCTCGCGGGCAGCGGCCTCCCGCTGGTGTTGGGTGAGCAGGTGAAGCAGACGGGCAGCCGCCTCGTAGCGTTCGTGGGCCAGCTCCAGTTTCTGGGCAAACTGATCCAAGGCGGTCTTCAGGTTGTTGGCGCTCTCGTTTAAAACGGACACCTTGAGGGCGGCGGCATGCAGATCGCGTCCCTTGGCCAGGTGTTTCTGTGGCGTTACAAATAATACTTAAAATTGAATCATATTAAACTATATACAATCACTCACCATTGCTATAAAATAGTATTTTTCAAACTCCTGCTCTTGGGTCCTCAGCTGCGACTCGTTGTCCCATTGCAACTGCGAAAACTTTTGCAGATTATCCGCTCCATCGCTGCCCAGCCACGAGGTGACCTTAAAAAGTAGGACATCGAGGTAAAAATCAGTGGGATACCTCAAGCTGGATGTAAACAAGCCCACGCGAGGCCAAGGTTCCCCATTGCCATATTCAACTCCACCCCGTTTCCAAGTCCCAATTCCCAATCCCCAAGCGCTGAAAAGTGAAACTCATAGAAATGATCGACGCTCTAATTAGCCTCCACTTTACAAATTAAAATCCAATCGAACACAAATCAAATAAAACGACTCAACTATGGGTATTTTGGCTCCAAGCTCCAGCCTCCCGAAGGTATTGGAAACCACAAACAACACGAAAAGAAGACAACCACCACACACAGGTAGCCATGGTTGGGAGGGAAGAAACAACAGCCACGGGGCAATCAACGATCTCACATTGATAATTTTGTGGCTCTAACCAATTTTTAATCACCTGCTGCGTCCAATTGAATTGATACAATCGACCGACGACTTTGTTGATGATGATGATAATGATGATGACGATGCTATGGAACCAAGCTAACCAGCTCCCCCATACCATACCATACCATACCATCCCAGAAAGCACCCAGCCATGGACTTGTAACTCCCAATTCCCAGATCGAAACGCGTGCACGGCGCATTCACTTTCCGTTTTTGGGTTCTGCCTCCGAGTCTATTAGTGCACAGAGGGAAATTAGGTATTTACAAATTTTAAAAATAACAATAATAATAATTTAAAAATCATAAAACGTTTGTCTACAGATCCTTCTTTATAGAATGAAATATTTATAAACCAATGTAATTTTGAACTTTAAGTAATTCCTCATTTCTGCAAGTGCCGATCTTTAGCTATGAGATAGCCACTCCGAACCTCTTCTGGGGCATGTCCACGTCTGCATCCCACCCAATGAATGAAAATACACTCCCAAGGGGGCTGCGGAGTGGGAGTTGCGGTGGAGCTTCGAGGGGAACTGGAGCAGGGGCTCTAAACAGCTGCTCCAGTTTCACAGTCGCAGCACAATCGGCTGTCAGAGACGCTGACTCTTCTTGCTCATCAGATATGGCAGGCACGGGTTTTAGCGTTGTGGTATATATATGTACAACATCTGAGCCATGTACAGGGTGAGGCAATCTTCTTGATTTTTTAATTGATTTCGTTCTTTAATTAATCTAATTTCGGGTCTGAGAGCTTTGGCCCATTGGATAGAGCATGACGGATTGATAATTGCATTGAGTGGTATCATTAAGAGGCTTTTTCCAATCTCAAAAATCCAAAATATATATTTGGAAATTTCCAAAGACTTGTAGGAAATTAAGAAACTTTGATTTAATAATATTAATAATATTTAAATGGAAAGGTTTCATTAGGCATCCACTGTACATTTAAGCCTGCAACCTTCAATGGCTGACGCAGTTCTTTAAGGAAGTTTGACTCAATGCACATAAGTCATTGAATCACAGACTTTTAATCAATTTAAACAACAGATTTCCCTTAAACCACTCTATTATAAATAAACACTAAAGCGTTTAATAGCTGTAAACACCCCTGCATCAAGCTCATTACGCCGGACATTGAATGGAGACCTTGAATTACTCTATTCAGTGTCCAAACAATTTCGAATCAAATAAAACAGAACACAGATCGATGATGTCATTAAACAAAGCTTGTCAACACAATTCAATGGGTCAGCAGTACTCTACTTAATGGATCTGATTGGGTCACAAGCACTCGAAATTTGATGGATCTGAATGGAGGGATGTGGAGACAGATCTGTATGGGACTTGCGACACCCTGTATCTCGAAGATGTAGAGCCGGCTTGCACAAATTGTTTACATTGGAAATCGATCGGAGGTTTGGCTCCATGGGGCTGTGGCTGGGGGCTAATTCGGCAGATTGTTTCTCAACGATTACCCCGCACAGGCGGGCCATAAATTAATTAATTGACTTGGTAAGACTCTCGGCCCCAAGTCGATTTTCACTGCTAACTCCGTGGTGATAAGACGTGGGCTGATCAATGAACTGTGAACTATTAATAGTCCGCCGATAACTCGATCTGACTAGCCAGCCAATCGATCGCTATTGACTCACATAGTTGGCTATTTCGGATGCCAACTCGCTGGCCGCGGCGCTCGGAGCCGGGATCTCCGCATTTGGCCCGAGGAAGGCTGGGATCATGGCGCGACTGCCGGCAACGAGGTCCACCAGACGCGACAGAAACTGCAGCAACATGCCACAGGCAGCTCAGAATAGCGACTGGAAGTGGAAAAGCCCAGGCAGCCGAGCCGCCTCTATGTACCAGCAGTACATATACTTAAGTATATATATGTGTATAATGAGGCATTTTCAATTTTATTTCGGTTTTCAGTCCTCGTCGCTGGCAGGCGGCACTCAATGAAATTCAATAAAATCAAAACAATTAGCAAACGTAAACAAAAAGCGGTGAACAAAACAAAACAAAAAAAAGAGCATCAACAAAAAATGGGTTAGACAGGGAGCCCGGCACCCACGACGACAAACCGATGACGATGTCGCCAGAGTGGAGTCTTGCCTTGGCTTGCACGGAAAAAATTAAGATCAAAGAGGGAAAGATTTCGCAATTATCCCTATGTTTATATTGTTGCTGGGCATTAAATTCGGTGGGGTTCTTTAAAGGTCAAAATATTTAGGCAACAGGATTAACCTATACTTGAGATGTTGATTTGATTTAAGAAGTAAGGCATTAACTTGCTCATTTTTATTCTCTGTGCAAACCAAGTAAATAGGCAAATGTCATCGGTGGCTGAAGTTGCTTCTGCTTCTGCGGAGGCTTCTCCCGATAAGCCCGCGTCCATCTACGGCGGATGTGGAGCTGTTTGCTGTGCGACTGATAAGACACCACCGCATTCGGGTTGACTGCACTCTGTTTGATCGGGATGTGGAGCTGCTTCTAGAGCTGCTTCTGCTGCCGCTGCCTTCTGGCGGATGCCGCCTGACATAAAACGCAAATTTAACGTGACACTCTTACAAGTTGATCGCATGCGCCATAAAACACATGCAACACCTACAACAGCAACAGCAACTGCGGCTAGCTGTGAGCATGCGTGGCTTCCAGTGGTGGCCACTCCAACTCCAAGCTCCCAGCTCGCAGCTCCCTCTGCGGCTGCTGTCGTGTAATTTACACAAATGTCGCGCACTTATCTCACGGCCATAAACATTTTTTAAGCCACAATATCGAATTTATTTTGACACTTTACAAAGTTGTCGCCAATGTAGCCGTAGTTCTTGTAGTTGCTATCACAGACCACAACAACTACATATTGGCATTTTGTTTACCCTTCGACAGGGTAATTTGAATATGTCTAGAGTTTTGAAATGCCATTTTTTTGTTATGGATCATTACTGCAGCAGACTCAAAGGCACCATGTGTTTGTATATCGTGCTCATAGCTTATCGATTGGCTGTGCAGAGAACTTGTGGTTCCCTATCAAAGTATTCCCTGGGTCATCATTTCCGTTTCTCTATTTCCATGGAGATAATTAGAGTAATCTGAATCATGTGTTTTCTGCCAGCTCTTAATTCCTAATTGTGCAATAAAAACTTTGTCATCTGGCCAAGCCTTAAGCAATGTTTTCAGTAAGATCCTATCAAGTTCAGGGTTTTAGGGCCAAGTTTATTAATTGCTAATATAAGCTCAAGTTCCGCCATAAATATAAATGAATTTCATGTGTCATAGTATTATTTACATTTCTAAGAACATTTACAATTCGGTATCTTTCGAGTTTCGCTTGGGAGTTGGGATTCTGCAGATTCTGCTTCTATTTCTGGTATTGGGTAATTTATTCGAAGTACCTCTTAAATGATATGCTCTTGCCATTTGGCTGTCTCATTTCTTGCTGGCTAATTTGCTCTCTATGTTCGCTTGTTGATGGCGTTGTGTCTTCGGTTTCTCAAGCATATCGCTGCCAGCTTATCTCTGGCTTTTAAGTATTTTTCTGTTCCTTTTTTTCCCCAACATGTCTTGGAGCTGTTTTGCATTTGAATTTATGGCAGCGTGTTAGAAATTATAGCAGCGATAACTGGCCAAGAGATGAGAGGAATTGCAATCGGAATGCGAGTGCGCCAAGTGAGACATTAAACACGAAAGCCGACCATTAATGGACGGGGAAAACCAATTGGAACTTCCATATTTTCTAACATGCACTGGGAGATTATAATTAAGTAATTTGTTTAGTTTAATAAATTAAATTAAAGGAGGGAATAATTGGGTGCATAGCTTCTGATTATCTAGGTTTTATGGTAGGTTCTCAGTACTAACTTAAGCTAACTAAGCTTAGCTCTTTCCTTATGAAAAGGTCTTTTAAGAAGTGTTTTCTTTACTACATTTTATTTAATTTTTGTTCTAAATTTATAAGCTACTTGAATTTCTCTCTCTGCACTAATTTCAGCCGCGACAAATGTGATTTATTTGGAGTCTTTTATTGCCCTCCCAACCAAAGTCCATAATCCCTTTGGGCCCACATACCCGTATTCGATACCCCACTGGGCCAGTAAGGGGTTTATGAGTGGAAAACGCGAGGCACGCATGGCTGACTGCATTCGCTGCCGCCCCGAATGTAATAAAGCAATTTCGTTTAACTATTTTACGGCAAAAGGCGATTACAATTTTACTTATTTTTCACTTTCCAAACCAGCCAAGCCAGCCCAATCCCATCCCGGCCAATCCACGCACACGGCAACAATCCAATCCCATGGCCCAGCTCCGAGCTGTGCGACACGCACAGAGTCATAAATTGTGACCACAAAAGGCTGGGAGACGTTAATGTGGTGACAATATTGCATGCAACCGCGTTGCAGCGATGCAGCGCTTCAGCTCTTGGTGTTTGCTGGTGAAAAAGCAGCTTTGGCACAGCAAGTGCATCTTAAGAAATGGGGCGGGACATGGGACAGGGGCGTGGCAGCTTATCGGCGATCAGGCGACGGCTTCGGCAACGGCGACGGCGACACTGTCCCAACTCCCGAGGAGCGGACGTGACGACGCTCAAAAAATGATGACAG